CAGGATCGTAGTGTCCTCTCAGTCCTCACACACCTTTCCTATCACAGCTGGGCCGAAAGCAATTCCCAAACCAATGTGATTCAGGGGGTTTGGATATGTCAGTATATGTGCTACACTAAAACACACCTGAAATCACACTCCGTCCTTGTTACAAGATGAATAACAATACATTTTATTGAGAGCAATAAAATACTTTGTGTTTTATTTCCTAATGTATGATTCTGTAGAAGCTAAAATCTTTTATTGTATTTCTAAGAATATATTTCACAGAATTCTATTTTCCTTAACCAAATCACAATTAAAATAAGAATGAGTTTGAAGATTACAAAGTCTAACACTGTATCATCTATGTTGTATACCTACTGGGGTTGAAAGTTCAAAAGCACAGACAACTTAAGGTAGTTATGGTACAGATTTTAAAACTAACATAAAAGCAGGGTCTGTATGTGTCCCTTCATGAAGGACAGCAGACTTACAGACGTGCTTGGATTTGAGTACGAACTGTGCAAATGACTTGTCATGGGACATCTAAAGACAGCATCCACCTCTCTGCAGTTCTGTTTTCTTTCTCAGCATGATAAAGACAGTACCACGAGGCAAATGAAATGAAAACCATAAGAGTTCCAGAAATCTGCAAACAGTACAGCTCTGTAATGGTTTCTGTTCTTCTCCTTCCTCATCTCTAGTTCTGCTCTCTGGTGTAATTTAAAAGACATTAACACAATCATCAGGAGGAAATTAAGCAAAGCAAAAGGGGTGTTAATGGCTCAAGAAGTTTAGGGTGAGAAAAATGAAAAATAAAATAAACACCTAACATTTCTGACTTTCTTGGATCATTACATGCAGTTTTCTAAAGGAAGAATCACAATGTGTGGACTGGTTATATGGAAGTCTGAAGGAGGCAATGGAGGATCCCACACACCACACATCTCTTTCAAAGCATATTTAAGCAAAAATAAACTAAAGATAAGTTTATTCATTGCCCCAAATCCACACATTGATTTCCTCATGAAGAGAGGCATCTCACATAAGTAGAGTAATACAATAGGAACAGGAAGATGCTGGAACGATGTAATGAGCTTGCACATAAAGGACAGCAAGCCATTTTTAAATGGTGCCATTTTCACAGGTGCAGATATCAGGAAGTTGGTGAAAACATCTTCATCTTCCCCTCCCCCCCAACTACTTGAACTTAAAGAGATTATTATACTAAATCTCCTCTCTAGCAGCTTGATCTTGGGTAAGACAGAAATTTCTCTGTGCAGGGCCATCTTTCAGACACTATTCATTTACACTTTAATTAACGGAACTTGATTATTTTGCTTACGTTAAAAGGTTTATCAATGTTCGAAATTAATAGGAAGAAAAAAGAGGGAGCAGAAATGAGGGGTTCTGGGTAATCAAACCTCAAACTCAGACTTTACTTATTACATAACCTCATTATTTTCTCTAGAATTAGAGTTAATTATAATAATCTGCTCTAATCATGTACCTTTACCTTTCTTTCTTTAAACACATCATAATTATGCCTGCCAATTTGCTAAGGGAAAGGACCCTATGTTACCATGGCAGTGGGGGTGGTAAGGCCAAAACAAAACACACGTTCTATGACTTCTGAAAGTTGTCTCTATCAGAATCACTGAATATGTGCATTTTAATGTACAAAGAATCTATAAGATTAAATCCAAAAGGAGCTACCAAGAGCCCCTCTGTGAGTCATTTGATGGCTGGTGATTCCAACTTACCTAAATTCACTCACTGAGATGATGAACAGGAATCAAGTTCATCAATGAGAATGAATTACATGCTCTGCTTAAGCGTAATGCTCAGCATCCTCACTACAGAAATTCATGGGAACCGAGGGGGCCTCTGGGTGCTGCTCTAGCTGCCAAGCAAGGCTCTTCTTTATTTAAAGACAGACACCTCATAGTTTCTGGGAAGAAATGCATTCTGGCTAACAACTTCTGTATCAATTCAATGGAAACTTTTTTTTAAAAAAATCCATAATAAAAATTCCTTTTGAGACCATGAAAAGGAATACTACATTTGGGGGAAAACTGTTAGCATATTAAAGCTTATGCCATATATGCTAATACTAATAAAACAATACATTAAATTAAAAATCAAGCTATAATAGCTGTAAGCCATAATAGCTGTGAATGAAAGTCTCTGGAGAGAACTGCACCTTACATTGAACCTCTTGCGAGGCTGGTTAACTGACTAGAACTTCAGTGATTGTGAAGCATTTCCAGAGCCAAGTCCAGAGCCAGATGTCTTGCACCTGTCTTTAGCCCCCATTAATAGCTAAGCTGTGTATTGTCCTTTTCTGTATGTGATCTAACATTTTTGTGACCATTAGGTAAAGCTTTTGGAATGGGGAGGAAAAAACCCCACATTTTCACCAACCAAAAGGCTAAGAACACTCTCAAACAGTACCTGAGGCTCTATCTGAGACTTCCCCACTTTGCTTTAACCTGCCTCCCTGATGAACCCACCAAGGCAGTTTAAAAGTGCCTTGATTTGTGACTTTGTTTGTTCTGTTACTATAAAAGCTTCATCAAACTGCTACCAATGGGAAAATGGATTTAGGGTAAACTAAATCTTTATGCTTGGCCACGATCACTCATATTTGGCTCCAGAATAAACCATCTCTTACCCTCTTTGAGATGAGAGACTTGTTTTTGCACCCACAGGGCTCTACATGAAGGCGATACTGAACCAAATAAGGAAAGGGTACAGAACTTCAGCTGGAGATACTTGCTCCATGGTTTAGTATCTTATCAGATGTCCTCAACAAAGGTCTGGCTTAGAACAAAACAGTTTCATCCTCTCCAGTGTCAACCTTTCCGTGTCCTGCCCCTCATCTTCCCCTTCTTGTTCCTGACTCCATACTGCCGCTAAAAAGAGAAGAAGCAGGCAAACCTCTGGCTGTATCTTAGACCAGAGCTCCAGTGCTCTTAAACTGCAAAGACAAAACATGAATTCATTGCGTGGGCTTCCAAACTTGCTCCTCCGTTACACAGAAAACTGATCTCGCCCCTTTTCTCTCTGTATCTTTTTCTACCCAGTAGTCTTAGGAATGCCTTCAAACAGAGAACACAGAAATCCACAGGGATCTTTTGAAATCCTCTCATTATCTATATGCTAAACTGATGTTTTTAATAGTTTTGGATTAACAGAGCGCATCAAGATGGAAAAGCAAGGAAAAAGAGATGAAAGGTGAGTTAATAGTGAATAGTTACATTCATTAAGGAATGAAGGAGAAACTAAGAACAGGAAGACAAGTTCACAATAGTTTACATTGAAAGTCAGCATCCAATAAACCCATGTACAGGAGTTTCTGTAATTTAACAAGGATTATATATTTGTGTCACAGTGAAATTTCTTTACTGTATTACTGTAAGTTTGGAAATACTCTTCGGTTCAGGAGGTCTTTGCAAAGTATTCCTAGTGCTTCATCTAGTAGCATCTTAGCATTCCTAAATGTTCACACATAGCCCCAGACTTGAAAATTGGACCCCATTGATGGGTCCTGGCATTTTGGAGTTTCCCAAGTGATAGAGAGCATAGTGTTCTCTTTAATGAAATCACTGACATGAATAATAAATCCAGCTTCCCTGGTGCATATGCACATATAATTTCTGGAATAGTACCGAGAGCAAGTCTTTGCAATTTTATACAAAATGTTGTAGCTTGAAAATGCACAAACAAAGCAATTAAGAGAGCTACTGCTGACCATGGAGTTAGAAAAACAAGTCAAATGCACAAAAACATATGGAATGAAGATGTCCATCAGAGAATCAGGACTGTGGTTGAGAAAGGGTAAATCTCCACGCTTGGTAGCTCATGCTTTTAATTACAGAGCTTGGGAGGCAGAGATAGGCAAATCTCTCTGACTTTGAGGCGAGCCTGGTCTACATAGTAAGCTCAAAGATAACCAAGGCTAAAGTTCATACCCTTCCTCAATAAAAAGGGGTAAACTGAGGATCTAGCCTATACCATGATCAATAGAGTCAACAACATTTGTCTTATATACTTGAGGGTTCTCAACCAAAGCAACAAGAAAAGACACCTAGGGAGGTGACGGTGCATCAGTCAACTTGCCTGTGGCCATCATTTCACAGTACAGAGGCAAATCATACATTTTAAATATGCAGAATGTTGTCAATTCTATCTCAGTAAAGCTAAAATAAAAATTTACAGAAAAACACACATGAACTAGCACAAATTCTATTCTAGACAGAGTTGACAATGATACAAAAGCAGGTATTTTTTACAAACAAGGAATGAAATCTAATCCTAAGGTTTGGGTAAAAGGAGAGAGAGAAAAAAAGAATTCCCTTGAGAGAGTACATATGATTCCTATTTTTCAAAACACTAACATTATCTTCTAAATTCAACTCTTACATAAAACTATTCTGCAATTGCCTATTTTGATAAGGAGGGGCTGGAGAGACGGCACAGCAGTTAAGAGCACGGACTGCTCTTGCAGAGGATCTGAATTCAGTTCCCAGAACCCTGTTGGACAGCTCACACCTGTCTGCAACTCCAACTCCCTCTTGCCCTCTTCTGGCCTCTGTAGGCACTGCAATCACACAAATCTAAAAATTTTCTTAAAAAAAAAAATAAGGATACAGGACACATTTTATTACTTTTGACTTTGTAAATGGACAAGTCTCCCATCCAAGTACTGATGATAATTGGATACTGATATTCAAAAAGAACGAGATTTGTTTTACAGCTAAGACGGGTGCAAGGGGTATTAGAAAGGATGTATAGATCGAATATCTAACAGAACACAACCCCCTCAACACTTTCAAGACACTCCGTTCTTTGCCCTAGCCTATTCCCTGAGGTGTTCAGGCCACATGGACATATGCAGCCACATACGCCAGTTCAGAGCTAGAACGACACGCCTGGGGAACCCGAGAGGCCGCAGTTCCCATTATCCATCCATCACCTTGGCAATGCTTAGTTCATCCTGAGAATGTGATACTTACTCTTGTACTGCTCTGGCTATGGAAAGGGCCGTGGATCCAGTTTCATTAACGCTATCTAAGGTCACATTTGGCAGGTCATCATCATCACTGTCACTTTTACTTTGTCTGGGAGATAGGCCTCGGGGGTCCATTTGTGCTGGGAAAAAAAGGCATATATAATGAATTAAAATTAGTGTGCAGAACTCAACCTTGTGCTGGACCAACATCAAGCATGGAATCACTCTTCTGTGCATTTCCCGAAATCAGAATCCTAGATGTTACAGGAATTAGTGAACACGAGGTATTCCGTGCACTGAGCGCTCAGGGACTTTTTCTCTTGCTCATTTGATTCATGCAATACCTGTATTAGCTTCCAGATATGCTCCTAGAATAGAAACTGTAAAATTTGTGATATTACCAGCCCCTGAGTGCCCCAAAGCTAATTATGTAGCTCCCAAGTTACTGTTTCACCCCTGGCTTCTGTTCCTGCTTGCTTCTGCTGCCAGGCTTTGGGCCATGTCACTTTTCATCAGATCTTTCCCTGGAAGGGAGTGTGAGGTGGAGGAGACGTTATTTGCTTCATGTTCTTGTACAAGGTTAAAAAAAGAGCAAGGTTGACATAGCTAAAATAAAGTTTTAGATTTCTTTATTTTTTTCTTTATGTATTTGAGTGAATGATTGTCTTGTAGGTTCTGTCTACTGAAGGCGGAGGTCTGAAAGAAAAAAAAAAAAAACAAAAAAAAAAACGAAATGGCACCAGTGGAAGCATTTAAGTATTTTCAGTGTCTGTTTTGTGTTAGATAGCACTCTCTCATCTCCACCCAGATTTTTCCTTCAGAAAAGCATTTCCAGATGTGATTCTCCTCCTTGTCAAAGTAGGAAATTACCACGCTCATCCTGTTGACCAGGACCAACCGAGCACTTCAACGAGAAGTTTAATGTGATACAACACGTGTTAAAATTAGATTTTCTTTCTACCTTCTTTTCTCTATTAGCAGCTTTAGTAACCACTGTCTACAATTTTCCCCAGCTCTTACCTCCTATAGAAAACAAGCACACGTCCTCACTGAAATATCATTAAGATACACACATGCCTTCAATTCACCCAGCTCCAACTCAGATTGTTATTACTCAAAGGTGCCTAACAAAACCTTTCAAAAACCACTCTGTTTGCAAAAGGAAGCAAAATGTACTTCAAGTCAAGGTTAAAGTGACAGTTGGGTACTACTGTACTTCAAATCATAGTTACAGTGACAGTTCGGTATAGTCGTATTTTAAATTATGGTTAGATTGACAATTGAATACTATTGCAAAAAGATACCTTCTTATTTCCAATCACTTTTTGTTAGTGTGCATCACAGATGGACTCACAGGAATGCTGACATTTCACCATTTTTTACCCACAAACAAGGCAATTTATGATTGTACCAAATATTTACAATATGGCTGGAAAAAGTAACCCTAGAGGGTTTCTACCCTGTTCCTTCTAACTGAAGGAACTGGCATTTGCTACATCTAGGATGGTTGTGTGTTTGACATACACATTCAGCCTCTGAGCATATATAAACAAAATTGTGCTTTGTAAAATAAGAGAATATGGTAAATATTATGTGAATTAATTCAATAGTAGTAGTCTTCAACTGAGAAGTTTGTCCTCCCTCCAGAGATTCTGGACATATCTGAAAATATTTTACTCTGAGAGGTGTAGTGCAACTGGGGATATGAGGTGACATCTTTGGACAGGTCAAGGACACTGCTAACTATTCCACAATATCTGGGATAGTCAGTCCTTCAAATAAAGATTTGATCAATCTAAAATATTAGTTGTACACAGGCTGAAAAATTTACCTAGAAGTCTGGGAGTTTGGACATAAGGGCATTACAGGTTCTGATGTGCGGTTGCATGAATATGTCCTCATTTGAAAATCACTAACAATGAAATTCAGACACAAAACGAATCACCTATATTGTCTGGTCTTGTCCTTAAATAAAGCAATTCACTGTCATGCAGGTCTCAGTTGACAATGTCTTCAAGTAGCAGATTTCCTTGCTCAGAGGTCAGGGGTCACGTAGTAACATTCATGGATTATTAGCACATACTGTTGGACCAAAAACAAAAATCAAGATTTTCTATCTAATCTCTAGAGAAGGTACCTCAGATGGGGGATGTTGCAGAATCCTTTCCAGGGCAAAGGAAGGAGTTCTACCACCAATTGTAAACACAGAGCTTAAATACCCAGCCACTCTAAAGGAATACAGTTTAAGATTTCTTTGGCTATACTCAATAAACTGGCTCAATCAAACATATTAAAAAGCATATACAGTCACATCTTACTTCATGACACAGATAGGTGCTGGAAAATGTGCTGTTAGGTGATCTATACCTGTGTAAACATTACACAGATAAGATGGCTACAAAGGCTAAGTGCTACAGTCTTGTGGGACCCCTGTTGTATATACTGGATCTTATTGAACGAAACAAGGTTTGGTAGTGTATACAGGAAAGGTACCAAGCAACTTACAGAATGGAAGGTACAGAATTCAAGAAAGATATAGATATTTCAGCCAGGAATTCATAGATAGTTTTCTTCTGGGTAATTCTGTTCTAGAATGATTCATTTAACAACTGTTTATAACTATTCAAAGCTAGCCAAGAAAACGAATACCAGATCCATCTAGCCTTCCAAATTCCACATTGTGTGGTGCTATAGATGCTTGTAAATGTCAACAGTGTGACATCTAAAGTTGCTGAAACATCATGTGCTATGACATCTTTGCCAAGCTATCAAATGATCAGATAGTCAAAGAGCAGAGAATATTATGGTAGTCAGAGACAACTGGAGTTCTTAGACATAAGTAATACAACACAAGGAAGAGGCAGGCAGTTAACCAAGAAGCAATCTGCCTCTCAAGTTCAAGCCTCACTGTTTGAAACATTCCAGATGACTGTGTAAGAGCTGTTACACAATCATCTAAATTATTCCATGTTTATAGATAAGTGAAAGTATAAAATATGTTAAATAAGATACCCTCTCTGATGTACTTTTCAGGAGGATCCTAATTGAGACTTTCTTTCCAATATTTTCAATAAATATTATGAAATACATCTGCTTCCATCATGCTGGGAAATTCTTTTTAACGATACCCTCAGCCAAGCTGGGAAAATAATTTGAAAGCTTTTTAAAATTTGCATTGCTGATTAGGTCAGATGATTAGCTCATCTACATACTTGCATAATTCCACTCTATTTTTATTAAATGTAGAATAGGGACATCTCACCCAGTTAACCTCCATTAGTCTGTACATCTGAGCCCACTTTAGGATGAAGTAACTCTTGGGAGTGTTCATTTGGGACCATATGACAGTTTCCTGGACAACTAGAACACACACGCATAAATGTACATAAACACGCATATACAGTCATACATACACACACATACAGAAGCACACACACTCACACATACACACTCATACATATATACACAAGCACACACATACACATTCACACAAATACACATACATACATACACAAACATATGCACACAGTCACACAAACACACATTCATACATACATATACACACATACAGCCACACACATACATACATCCACATCCACATGTACATAGTTCCCTAAGTTAAGAGAACAAGAGATGATCTATGGGTGAAAAGAAGTTACTTTTGAGATTTTACTTCTGAATGGAAAAAGGGATTGGGCAATATGGGGAAACCCAGCTCCCTGGAGTCCTGGACAAAGTCCTAAGAAGATAACTGTACAAACCCAACACTTGATGTTGAGCTTATTGATTTTCAAACACCAATCTATGATTTATTATTACTATAAAGACCTCCAATGCATTAGCTCCCCCTTGCTGTGCCCTTGTTATGGCCACTTCTAGCAATGACTGAGCTGGGTCTGGTTTGATGTGGTTGATGCCACATAAATAAATACATCACATATAGAGGCTTGAAAGCACATAGATTGGGGCTTCTGTTCTGAGAAAACTAATCTCCAAGTGATGGAGTTTGGACAGACCTCTAAGAGATGCACTGCTTAGCTGCCCGCCAATCCCAGCTGATAAGTGAGCTGCATGTGATTGGCCAGCCATATTTCAGCTACCAGATGACGGCTGCCAGATGACCATATCTGTAGTAGAGACCCCAGATGAAGCCAGCATGAAAACTGCCTGTCTAAACCCATTCCAAAATTTGGACCTACATAACTGTGATCAAATAAAATAGTTGCTATTTTAATCTCCTTAATTGGGAGACAAACGACAGCAGACCAGACTACCCTACTCTTGCCCATTCTTGGAAGTGGCATTCACAAAAGCCTGCACAGGATGCTAATATAAAAAAGGAAACTAAAAGGTACGTGTGATACTCTGTATTTTCTACCACTCCATTCAAAATATTTAACCTGCACATACAGGTCCTATGTTGGAAGCATCATCTCTAAATTCTCAGTATCATTCAGGCAGGATTCCCCTATTCTAAGGGGCTTTGGATGGATGTCACTGCTCAGTCTAAGTCTTTGAGTCCTCCTTTCCCAAGTATATACTTGACAGGAAGCCCGCTAAGTACATCCTTCCAGTCCTGTGGTCTCCCCAAACTCTATGTCCTTTTCAACACATTCAAACTTCTTCTGTCTTGTGCAATAGTGTGCCGACACAGCCATATGATGCCAGCACATACTTCCAGCATACCCTCATCACAGCCTGGGTGCTACTGAAAGATTAAACATGTTTGCTCAAAGTAACCTGCCCATCCAGCTGTTCATGCAGGACGTTTCCCCATAAATCACCTCATTAAATGTGCATAATACAACAATCTATGAACATGCCTTAAAACTTATGAACTAACATTTCCTTAAACAAAATAGAGGGAGTGGCTCAGTGGTAAAGCATTTGCTTAGCACATGTAAGACCCTGGGTTCCATTCTGAACATCATGCCAAATGAAAAGAAATAAAGGCACCTTAGAAGGATGTCCAGAGCCCCACCTCTGTCTATGCGGACAGAGGGTGAAGGCACCCACAGCTGGCAGGGGTGTGAGGCAGCTGTGTGATCAGCAGCCACAGTGCTGCTTCATTTTCCTTTCTCCCTCCTTCATCCTCTCACATTGCCTGCTCCCTGCAGGCATCCTGCCTGTTCATCCTGCC